AGCAAATGTTTTCATAGCCTCCGTGTTGTTTAGCCACTACAACATAGATTTTGCTTGTTCTCACCCCAACCTGCTATAAATTTTTAATGCATTGCTGTTTGAGATTGATTGATACCTTGTGACAAGGAATAATGTGCATTGCCAGATAAGTTTTATGATTTTCCACTGCAACTTCTTTTAATACGTAACTTAGCCTCACATTTCACCTTCAAACATGGAGGTGGATTAAGTAAAGTGGATTCTCATTTTCTCTCATGTCTTGTGCAAACATTAATAAATTGTCTAGTAATTTTTGAATGACTGCTAGTTTTAGTTAATACACCATATCCAAGACATTCAGCATAATGCGTGTAGAATGATTGAGTATTTCTCGCAACAATAGGTTCATGACTATCGTTAATATCCAAATCACCAATACATAGGTCCTTATTGTCAATCTTGTTGATGACGTGCTCTCCACTCCCATCATTAGATTCCATTAATTCCTAACATTTCATAACTCATAGAGTAAGCTTAGAACTAGTATAATAAACAATTAATTTTAAGGATAAGATGAGATAATATAACAAAAGTTAAGATTATGTTGGTAAAAAAACCATTAATTTTATTGATAGCAGTGATAAATGATGTCGATTCGCCATCAAAACAACTAAGTTCTCTCAGGATTTTGTAGTATTGAACTAAACCTAGGTCAATTCACAGAGACACATTTTCAATTAAATTCAATTTTAAGTTTTCTTTTAAGGAATGCGAGTAAACTTTTGAGGGTTTGACATCTGCAAATTAATTAAATTAAACTACGAATAGAATAAAATTGAATAAAAACAAATAAAAAAACATTAATCTACAGAATACTAAATGTGTATAACTCTTATTATCAAAGTATCTAAATATTTTAATCTGAGTTTGAACGTTTACCTAATTCAATTATTAATTCAATCGAATAATCTAATTGAACTAGATCACAAATTAAATCAAATTATCATTTAAGCTAAGCCAAATTAATTATCAAATTAAAATATCAATCGAATCCTAATTTAAATTCTAACAACAGAAAAGTTAATCACGATCGCAATACACAAATATGAAGTTAGAGAAAAAGTGAACAAACTCAGAGTAATTTGATCCAGAACTCAAATCAGAATTACAACATTTGGATTCTGCAGATTGAACGGGAGGTTTAGTCTTCCATTGAAGCACTTAACTCACGCGAGAATGAGAAGAGAATAACAGAATTCGAGAGAAAGTAAAAATAAGAATTCTTATTTCAGTCAAATCTCAAAAGCTCAAAATGTCTAATCTCACCTAATTCAGAACCTTAGTAGTTTATTTATAGGTTCTGATTAAGGTAATTAATAGGCCAAAATTTGGGCTTTAATTATAACTGTAAGCCCAAATACAATTATCAAATAACAAAAGGTCCAAATACAATCTCGCAACAATATTCAGCAAATCTGCATCAACTTAAAAAAATCATAAAAAATAAAAAAATAACTTCAAATCCAGTGAATCATATATGTATTTTGAAGTTCTTGATGTGTAGAATCAAATGCAACTAGAATAAGCAAAAAAATAATATATGTAGAAAAAGTTATGGCCGAGAATAATCAAAAATACAAAATTTAAGTATAGTAAAAGTGTTTGCAAATAAAAATAAAACTATAAATGTAATCCTATGTTGCATCAAGCAGCAAGTTAGAGCCACACTGAGATGATTCTTATAATCAAAGTATTTTTTAGACAAAAAAAAATCTTGTAACAATATTCAGCAAATCTGCATCAACTTAAAAAAATTATAAAAAAATAATTTTTTTTAATTATATATTTTTAATTAAATAAAAAATACATCACTATTCATATTTATGATTGTTATGTTATTTAAAAAAATATTTAATTTTTTGAGTCTAAATCACATATATCTTCTCCTCCACGTGGGATTATGTTTTAGTCATGTAAAATTATTATATACAATCATTTTTTAAGTATTTAACATAATTGCATTAATTTAAATTTAAAATTATATATCAAACTAAATAATTATATAATTAAAATAATATGAAAGTGAAAAGTTAAAAAAATATATATCACACTCCAATTCTACCTGAATAAGATTTTTTTAATATGTTGACAACACACACAAAGTTAATGATATTTTATAACTAATCAATTGATTTCTGTAACACCCCAAATTTTGTAATATTAATTATAGATAATTATATAAATCTAAATATATATTCATGTGTGTATTTTTAGATATATGTTGTGAATATATATATATATATATATATATATATATATGTGTGTGTGTGTGTGTGTGTATATGGGTGTATGCATGACTGGTTGGGCTGAAATAGGCTAAGTGCCTAAGTGCAAGGCGTGATATTGGGCTGTTCTCGCTGTAGTGAGAGGATTCTCACTGTAATGAGAGGGCCCTAGGAGGAAGGATCAGAACTGTTGCCTTCTCGCTGTAGCGAAAAGGCGACAGTTTGGGGTGCAGTCTCGCTGTAGCGAGATTCTGCAGAAACCAGAGTGTAGCTTTCTCTGATTTTTTCGCTATAGCGAGAGTGTTGTGACCAGAAAAGGATTTAAAGGGGTTAGGGTTCGGGGAGAGTTATTTCTCCTTCTCCCTTCGAAATTCCTTTGATCCTCTCGTTCCCAAAGCCCTATTCCACCGATGAATTGCCTCCAAAGTCGTTCGAGAGCTTGATTGAAGGTTGAATTCGTGTGGAGAACGCTTGGAGGTAAGTTTTAATGATTAGGATTTCGGTTTTTCATCCCATTTCTCTGTTTTCGTGTTTTTCCTGGGTTCTCATGGAGTTTCTCCATATGTTTAGGATGAAATCTGTGAGGGGGAGCATTTCTTGGTGGATTTAGGTGTGGGACGTCAATCCAAGTTAAGGGGGAACTCTATCCTACTCTTTTGTGCATGAATTGTTGTTATTTTGCTTAATATTGTGTTGTGGCTGAGTTAGTGCATAGAAAATTGCTGAGAAATGTAATGTGGGTCATGTGCCGTGATGTGTGAACATTATGTGTGTTGACTCGAACTTGATGGATGTGGATTGTGTGTAAATGTGGTGTAATATAGATGAATATTGGCTATGTGCCGTGTAATGTGAAATGAATGTGGGCCTAGTGCCATGTATTTGAATGCAATGTGGGCTGTGTGTTGTGTGTAAGCATGATTATTGCATGCCTGAATGGAATATGTGTGAATGGGCGTGTTAGCGCCATTGTAATGTGCTGTGAATGTTTCAGCGATACACTGGGGGTGTGGGAGATGAGGACGGTAGAAATACCTTGAGGAAGAGGGAGTGGTGGTGACACCGACTGTGGAACAGGTGCACCACGGGCCACACACTCTCTTCTTGACTAGACCTCTAATCACTATCCTTACTGACCGACCCGTGACTGCCCACGTGGTATCCGTGAGATGGAGGTAACCGGTGACCATTCATGGTGTAAATATGTGATCATAGTACTATAGTGAGTGTGGCTGGTATGCATATGCATGGATTTGTGTTTTGTACTTATAGATGTGAATTGCTGCCTGTGATTGTGTTTGTTAAATATATTGGGAAGGTTTTGGAGGTGAGACTCTATGTTGATTGTGTGTTTTGGGTAGTGTAGAGTACTCACCCTTACATTCATTTTTTAGGGGTAATCAAGACGATCAGCACCAGACTCAGTGAAGAGATAAATGAACTGTTATAGGACTTAATTTTTATTTTAAAATTTGTTGTAACTAAACTAATCTTGTAGGAGTCATTTGATATTAATTTGTAACCCTTCCATTATTTTGAAGCATTTTATGAAAATTGGTTATTTGAATTTGTAAAATTTTTATTAAATTGAAATTAAATTTAAGGTGTTACAATTTCTAGACCACTCAAAAAGAAATATTTATTATTTGACCTATATTATAACATACGAAGTCTGATAAGTAAGAGTAATATTTGAATCAGTAATATGTAAAAAAAACACCATATTGAAGTCAAATAAAATAAAGTTATAATTAAAAAATTTAATGAATAATTTATTATATTAAAGTTAAATAAAACAAAATTATAATTAAAAAATTACTAAATTATTTATTATAATTAATATGACTTATATAAATGGTTAGATACTAAATAAATTAATATCTCTTTTGGATGAGATAAGATTTTTTTTGAAAAGTAAATTTAATGACAACCAACTTACTAACTAAATTAAAAATTTAAAAAAAATAAAAGAAAATAGAATTTGATTGTTATTAGTTAAAAAAATTAACATTTTATTTAAGACAAATAGTCTAAATAAAAATAGGTCTTAGAACAATAAAATTTTCTTTATTCACAAAGTTTGACTTGAAATAAATATGAGTCTGATTCATAGTTATTTTTTACTAAAGAATAACTCTAATTACCAATTAATTGAAAAATAGTAATTTATTTACAATACTTAATTGACATTCATAAAAAATATTTAATAAATTATGAGTTCAATATATTCTATTTAACAAAAAAAAAAAGACAAATATTTTTTTCTCATCATCAGCGGGCAATAGTTTTCATCTCCCATTTTATAGAAAAATCACTTGCTTAGCCCTACTCCAAAGATATTTTAATAATAGGTTCTATAGGATAGTTAACTTATTCACAAACCTCGCTTAAAACAAATCGTTATAAATTTATAGAGAGTCACTAATTAAAAAACATTTTAAAATCTTTTCAACAATGTCATTTGAAAATTTTTTGTACTTTCCATAATTTTTTTAACTAAAACTCTAAGATATTTAAAATATATATTATCTTACTAGTTAAATAAATATAATTTAGTAATTTTAAATTTCTTTATTCAAACACAACTTAAAATGAAAATGTCAAATTATGATTTATAAATATTTTAATTATATTAATATTCATTTAGCATTTTTCATTTTTTTTATATCTCTTCTTTCCTATTTATCACATGCTTCGTTTCTATTTCTTTTTCTTCTTCTTTTTTATTTCCTTTCAAGAACATGCACTAAAAATATATATAACTGAAACAATATGAACAAATCTGAAGAAATTTTCTGTTTTGAAATATATTATAACATACGTTACAATTCACAAAAAATATTTTGTTGACGCTGACGACTAATTAACTAACCAATTTTAAAGGAAAAAATATATATATTGGAATAAGCTGTTAATCAATGCTATCAAGAACATGGTTTGGTGTGAACTATGAAGAACATGGTTTCGTGTTTCGTGTGAAATTTTTGAGCCTGAAAATTTGAATCCTCTTCTGCCTCGCTTGCGCGGCCATGGCTCTGCTCAAATCCTTCACTGCCTTGTTCTCATCCAACGGTTCACGTAAGTCCACTTCAGCAAACTCCGGAGGCGACAAGTTTAAATCAGGAATGGCTAGTTGGCTCATCTTACTACTGACGTGGCCCGAAGAGGATGCGCCTGGGAACGACGTCGTTGGATTGCCAGGCACACCCTGAAGCTGCGCAACGCCCTCGCTCTTACGTGTTTGGGATTGGGATGGCCCACACATATGATTCTGATTCAGCATCGTTAGACTAGGAGCTATTTGCACTTGCAATTCAGGTTGCTTCTGCTGTTCGTTTTGAGCCTTCGACTCGGAAGCGTTGACTGTGGCGTTGACAGGATCCAATTCCATTGACCCATCAAATTCCAAACTAGTGTTTTTGCTTTCCCCTTTGGGGCCATTCATTAGCTGTAACAAACGACAATTTCAATTAATAAAAACTGAACGTGGTATCGTACCAACCAGTAAAGGAAAAAACGGAACACGGGTAAATCCAGATAAAACATCCCAAAATATGAGTTAGCAAACTAATTAGGAAAATAAAATAAAAATTTGAAAAGGGTAAAAATATTGTTTACTAATAAACCAGTACCTCTTGTTTTCTTGCTTTCAACTTCAAATTGAAGGCCTTCAGCTGGTCATAGTAACCCTTCGTCTTCTCTATCGCCTGTAACAAAAGATTAAAACGTCGAAACATTTTCCACGGAGTCCAAAAGTTCAAGAAAATGCCAAAAGCAACCACATAAAATTGAAAACAAGGCAAACAAAAAAAGGAAAAAAAAACAAACAGAGTTAACTTACTTGATTGAGCGAACCTCTGCCTTCCGTCAAGTCTTCTATAATCTTAAGATAACACTCCCTCCTCTGTCGAACACAAAAACCAAAACCCAAAAGTCACATAACCAATGCCAAGAATTTTTGTTCTCTAAATCAGAAAAATATTAGCAAAATTATTTAAAGATAAATAACATCCAGAGGAGAGAGAGAGATAGAGAGAGAAAAAAAGGAAAAGATAAGATACCTTTCGGAGAGATGGTTTTCTTCGTGAGGCTTTCGGCTTCTCCTCAGATTCAGAAGGCGAGAAGGAGAGAGGGGTTGAGGGACTTGAACTCTTCCCTTTATCGGCCGTTAGAGCTACGGTTTCACACAGACGATTACCGATGGCGACGGCACCACCGTGAAAGAACGACGCTGGGGGAAGACGAAAACGAAGAGGTAGAGGATCTTGAGTCGCAGATCTCTTCCTTTTGCGTCCCCATTTGAGTAACGGAGGTTCTGAATCGTGGAAGTCGAGAAGGACGTGAGCAATTTGCAACTCGTTTTCAGTGTACCACACTGAACCCTGCTCCATGCTCTGTTTCTTATCTCTCTGTTTTTTTCAACTCGCAGAATCCTAATTTATTTTACTTTCAGTGGTTGAAACTCTATTGAATTGGGGTTTAATACTAAGGATGTGGGTTGAGTGACCTGAATATATTAAGAGAGATTATAGGAGGATGCGATTAGAAAGGAGAGGAAAAAAAGGTTATCAGTTCTGTGTTTGCCTCTCTCTCTCTCTCTCTCTCTCTGGGCTTAAAAAAGGAAGGAATTAGAAATCCTTGGCTTGACACGTGTTGTTTGTAGAAAGATTGCAGTATCGCTCTTGGTTTAGGGTTTATAGGTACCGTGGTACATGTGTGTAACTGCTTCAGCGGTTTATTTATTTAGAAAAATTGGTGACTAGGAATTTCTTTACATATTCTTCATATATGGGTAGAAAAATAATGGTTAGTATAGTTTGTTGATATTAATTAGTGATACTAATTCATATATAAAAATTAAGATAAAAAATAAATATATATGTGTAGAAAAATATATTTTAGTAAAGTTTGTTTTTAAGTATATATTTTGTGTATTGTTAAAGTTTGTTTTAAAAATAAATAAAAATCATATAAACTTTTTGTGCTTAAGAAAGTAATTTAACATGTAAAATTAACGAAACTAATATGTAAATATTCAATTGTGTGTAAAAGTATAATTAAAATTCTATTACAAAAAGTTAAGTTAAATTATATTTTGGATTAAATTATTTTTGTATTTAAAAATATTTTAATTTATGTAAAAAAATATTGTTCTTAAATTAAACAAAATAGTTCATACATATTAAATATGAATATATTAAATTAAATATCATTTTAAAGTAAACAGTGTAATGTGGGAAAGAATAAATTGTTCTTATACAAACCTATTACATTATTAATTATGTTATTAATTAATGAATTAATAATTTATTTACCTAACGCACTTCATTCGCGTATTGAATGTTCAAAATTCGATTACTCAAATAAAAATTAATTCTAATTATAAAAATTAATAAAAGTCAAATATAGTATTTTTATTAAGACAATTATATTTATCCTAATAAAAAATATATAAAATTATTAATATTAAAAAAATAAATTGATGAATGCTGCTAATAGATATATGTCTGTTATCATCTAAAAGAATAAAAGAAATCTTAAATCTATAGCAACCAACGCACTTTTTGCGAGACAAATATTGTGAATAGTGTCATCATAAATGTTATTACGAACATAATTATCATAGAAACAAGTCCTGTTAAATAAATACCTAAAACTAATTATCTTCAATATTTACAAATAAAACACAAATTCTGACATAAGTAAAAGAAAATTTCCTTGTTGCCTTGGTTGAAAATCACCATCTTATTTCATTGTAGTGAAGAATGATGATTCTGCCTTGAAAATTGGCAAGATTGTTGTGTTAATGTCCCTGGCTGGCTTTGAGTCGCTGAAGCTCCATGTCAAAACTCTTTGGGCTTCATTCAGAATAATTTAACTTCAATTATGCAACATTCTTGATTATTAGTTAATAATGTAAAGAAACAAAACATCCTATCTTAATGAATCTTTTTTATTCTTTCTAGCCTAGTTACAACGATTTGGATTATCTTTCTCACTCTATCATCCACAAATTAGATACTCCTATTAAATTTTTCATCCTATTTTAAAAATATATATAAAAAAAATATTTTTTCTCAAAATTATTTTAACAACTTCAAAGGATTTATTTTCACTTTTTAAATACCTCTATAAAAGGAACTTTCAATTTTCTTACAGTATCTTTCAATAATCAATAAGCTTCTCATTCTCAATTACTCAACTAAAATCCCTTTCAAAAATATTTTTTTATTTAGAATTACATAACCCTGATCTTCTCACTGCATGAGAGCATATGTAGGAGTAGAGATCAACACTAGACCAGTTATTTTAAAAATTCTTTTTCTCCACTATCTTCTCTTTATAATAAATAAAATATCTAAATTTAAGTATTAAATAAAATGTTGATTTTGCATAATTTAGCCTCTACACATAATTAGACTTTAAAACTCAAATCTAATTAAAAATCTTGATGATAATTCCTTCGATTTATGTTTTTTCTTTTTTTCTGTTCCATATCCAATGAATCATTCATTTCTTTTCCTTCTCGTCGCAGGCCCAATTGGCCCAATGTGTAATTTTTGTCTCTTTAATTTCAATCATTTGTATTTTATTTTTTTATTTTTTATTATTTAAATTTAAGCCGGTAAAATAAGTTTACATAACTAGGTCGACCTAAACCTACTTGATAAAATATAAACTTTGAGAATGGATTAAATTCAAAGTTTTAGTTTGATTCTATCAAGTTTAGTACGGAATAGTTTAAACTTTATCCATTCCGAATATCGTTCTTGCAAGTTCAAATTAGATTCGAGATTTTTTTTTATTTGTTCCGATTTTTTTTTTATTTGTTCTTTTAAAGTTGTTGCTTGAAATAGATCGACTCATGGATGATTTAAATTAAGACTCTCACACCAAATTTTTTCTAATAATTAATAAAATATAATAAATATGAAATGTATCACTATTTGATACAAATTCAGAAAGAAACAAGTGTATAAAATAATCAAATAAAATGAAAAATCCTTTTATTAAATTTTGTATACTTTTTAATTTAAAAATTCATGTATTTTTTCTTTACTAATTTATATAAACTTTAATTACACTTGTTGTCTTTATCCTTTAAATTATGTGTAATTTCTATTTGATTTTAATTGCATGTATTTAGCCTTTCTAATTTTTAATTGTTCAAATTTAATTTACTCCAAAAATTTATCTAATAATTAAAAGAATACAATAAGTATGTAATATATCATTGATTTATGAAAAATTATAAATACGAAGTATATAAAAAAATTATTATATTTTATTTACATATTTTATCATTTTTCTTTGATAATTTATATAAATAAATAATATGTTACACTTCTATTATATTTTGTATTATTCGTTATAATTTTAGAGTTAAAGTTTAAAATTGAACAATTGAAAAACTAAAAAAAATAAAATTGTAGATAAATTAAAAAAATAAAGACAAAAATACAATTAAATATAATTAATATTTATTCCCTTCATTTTTGCAATAAAAAAATCCTCACACGATACGTGTATCACACAGATTTTAATTGATATTTATAAATTTTTCAATTTTTTTGTTGAGATAAATATTGTATTTTTAATTAAATTTTTATTTTATAAAATTTTAAAAATAATTTTAATATAGAATTTAGTATACGTTAAAAGAAATGCGTATTCCATCAAAATAAAATGTCACTAAAAAAGCTAGATAAAAATACTTAAACACTCATTAAATATCGACACAAATATTATACCTTTTGTCTACATTGATATTGGTTGGGATTTTAAGTTCACTGTTAAATCATACATATGAATATTTTTAGCAATAAGAACAATTAAATGAAAAATGAAATTAATATATAATAATTATTATAAAATAGTTTTAATTCTTGAAATTATCAACCTATAATTATTTCAAATCCTAGAATTAAAGTGCTCCAATTTAATTATTGTCTTAGACAACTCTCATTTTTATCTCTAAATTATGTAGACATTAGTTAATTTGATCATTAACGCTAAAAATTAAATTAACTGTTGATTAGCAAGTTTTACGATTGTTGATGAGAATTGTAGAATTAAAAGCGGAGGCAACTTAAGTTTGGTTGAGAATTTAGAGGGAGAAAAATAAAAAGTTTGAAGGTTAAGGACGAAAACGACAAAAAAAAGAAGGAATGATTAATAATTTATTTTTTGTATTAAAAAACTTAAAAATATGTGAATAAAAAATGTTTATAAAACATTTTTATCTCACTTGAAAACTCTCTTTTCCTGCCGTCTAAAAACAAGATTATCATTAAATTTTCTCATTTTCTTTCTTTAATTTTAAAAATCATCTCTAAAAAAAATATAAAAATACTAATTTAGCAACGTTCAAACTAAGTTGATCGGTCTTATTAAATTTATGAAATAAATTGGTTGACAGTTTTATTTTGAAATATTAATTTTACATTTTTGGGATACAAAAGAATCAAACTAACCATTTATATTAATATTAAAAGTCTAAATTAACTAATAGATGTTAAATTTATAAAATTTATTTTTTATAATATTAAAGATTAAATTAATTAGTAGTATTAATTTCATGGACCAAAAGACTAAATAATAATAATTAAACTGATTTATCTTTTTAAAGTTGATTAAATTAATTTATTAATTGTATGCTAAACATTGCAAAAATAAAATAAATTTAAAGAGGTGTGTATTGTCTCCAAAAGTAGTTCTAGTCACTATAACAAACACTTTTGAATAAAGTAGATATTATTTAAGAATATTTTATAATTGTTCTATGAATGTTACTAATAGAACAGTTGTCATAATCATTCTTTAAATATTTTATACGAGTTATAAAATTAAAATTTAAAATTAAAATAATTATTTGTTTTCTTGAAACTTGAATTTGTAATTTAATATTCACAAGTTAAGACATAGAATCTAATAAGAGTTTTCACTATAAAAAAAAAACAAAGAAAGACATGAAAAAGGTACTGACGATAAAAAAAAATGCTAATATTGTTAATTTATAGATGGACAGTTATTATTTTTAGCATAGTAATATAAAAAGTTATATTTAGTAGCAGAGAAAGAGATGAAGATAATGAAAGAATATAAAAAAGAAAATATGATGTTGCTATTATAAATTGAGTGACGTTTTACCTCTATTGTGTTAATAAGTTAAAAATAATTAGAATATTTAAAAATTTTAATTTATAAGAGCAGATATATGTTAATTGCTCTATAAAATCACTAAAGCACAATTATATTATTTATTTAAATAACCACTTTAAAAGATCTAAATTTTGTGAATATCTAAATTTTACTTGAATTTAATTTTAATAAAAATTAAAAAAAAAAAGGTGTGATAAGATGGTGTCTTGCTGTGTATTATGGTTGGCTAGCACCCTTTAATTAAGGCTGATTTTGTAGAGATGCTAGTAATGGAAGTTGACCGGATAAGGAACATATTGCACACAATCATTTTCTTTTTCCGTGAGTTTTTTTACATGACATGAAAAAGAAGAAAAAAAATTGCTAAAAATAGAAGAGTAATACATAATTTTAAAGAAATTAAGGATAAAGCTGCAGAGAAGAGATTAGTTTAGGTGAGTAAGGAAGAGTTTTTTACACTAGATATTTGGAGTTGGTTAAGAAGGCTAGGACTTAGTCTTC